TAATGTGGGGAGGGGCACGGGGATGGATGTGCTACATGGAGAAGACAAGTAGTGACTCTACAGCATGTTACTATGCTGATGGACACTGACTGTAATGGGGCTTGTCGGTGGGACTTGGTGCAAGGGGGAGCCTAGTAAACATAATAATGCTCCTCATGTAATCTACAAACATAATTGTAGATTAATGATACCAAAAAAAAGCCAGAAAATTCAGTTATCTAAAAAAAATAGTTAAGGGAATCATTAAATAAAAGTATACTATAAGACATTAGTCTCATGAAGTGTGCAGGGAAAATAGAAAAATGTAATACTGATAGAATGTTTTCAAACTTAAGTCATCATCAGCTTAATGTAGAAAGCTATATATATAGGCATGTTATATGTGAAATTCATGGTAACCACAAACCCAAAACCTATAATAGATAAAGTGATAAAAAATAAAGGAATCTAAGCATGACACTAAATAAAGTCATCATGCATAAAGAACAGAATAATAGAACAGAACAATAGGAGCAAAGAACAACAACAAAATCAACCAGAAAACTTTTAACAAAATGGCAATAAGTACATATCTATCAATAACTACTCAATGTAAATGGACTAAATGTTCCAATGAGAAATGTAGGGTGACTGAATAGATAAAAAAACAAGACCCATCTATATACTGCCTACAAAGACCCACTTTAGACTTAAAGACACACACAGACTGAAAGTGAGGGGATGGAAAAAGACATTCCACACAAATGGAAATTAAAAAAAAACTGGGGTAGCAGTACTTATGTCAAAAAATAAACTTTAATACAAAGACTTTAATGAGAGACAAAGAAGGACATTACATAATGATAAAAGGTTAAATCCAGCAAGAAGTTATAACAATTGTAAATATTTATGCACCCAAAAAGGAGCATCTAATTATATAAAGCAAACATTAACTGACATAAAGGGAGAAATTGGCAGTAATACAATAATGGTAAGGTACTTTAACACCCTTCCTACATTAACGGATAAATTATTCAGGCAGAAAATCAATAAGGAAACAGTAGCTTTGAATGACACATTAGACCATATAGATCTAACAGATATATACAAAATATTCCATCCATAAACAATAACATACACATTCTTTTCAAGTGCACATAGTACATTCTCCAGGATAGATCACATGTTACAGAAAGCAAGTCTCAATAATTTTAGGAAGATTGAAATCATATCAAGTATCTTCTCCAAACATAATAATATGAAATTGGAAATTCATTAGAAGAAAAAAAAATTAGAAAAAACACACACATGTGGAGGCTAACCAACATGCTACTAACCAACCAATGAAGAAATAAACAAGAAAATCAAAAAAATACTTGGAGACTAATGAAAATAGAAACACAATGGTTCAAAATCTTTGAGATGCAGAAAAAGTAGTTCTAAAAAAGTCTGTAACAGTACAGGCCTACCTCAGGAAACAAGAAAAAATATCAAACAATCTAACCTTGCACCTAAAGAAACTAGAAAAAGTACAAACAAAGCCCATAGTTAGCAGAAGGAAGGGAATAAAGATCAGAGTGAAAATAAATGAAATGGAGACTTAAAAAACAATACAAAAGACCAAGGAAACTGAGAGCTTTTTCTTTAAAAGATAAAATTGGGAAACCTTTAGCTAGACTCATCAAAAAAAAGGACTCAAATAAAATCAGAAATGAAAGAAGTTACAAATGGCACACAGAATTACAAAAGATTATAAGAGTTTACTATGAAAAATGATATACCACTGAATTGGGCAGGAGAAGATATGGATAAATTTCTAGAAACATTCAATCTTCCAAGACTGAACCAAAAATAAATAGAAACAAATAGACTTATTACTAGTAATGAAATGCCATCAGTATTCAAAAACCTCCCCAAAAACAAAAGCTAGGACCACATAGCTTTACAGGTGAATTCTACCGGATATTTAAAGAACAGTTATTACCTATCTATCTCAAACTATTCCAGAAATTTAAGAGGAAGGAATGCTTCCAAATCCATTCTACAAGGCTATTATCACTCAGAAACCAAAATCAAAGACACTACAAAGGAAAATTACGGGTGAATATCCCTGATAAACATAGATGCAAAAATCCTCAACAAAATATTAGCAATCTAAATTCAAAAAATGCCTTAAAAGGATCATGCACCATGACCAAATGTGATTTATTCCAGGTATGTAAGGATGGTTCAATATCTGCAATCAATCAATGTGATATACCACATTAACAAAAGGAAGCATAAAAATCATATGATCTCAATAGATGCAGAAAAAATATTTGACAAAATTCAACATCCATTCATGATGAAAACTATCCAAAAGTGGATACAGAGGGAACACACCTCAATAATAAAGGCCACATAGGACAGACCCACACTAACATACTTAGTGGTGAAAAGCTGAAAGCTTTTCCTCTGAGATTGGGAACAAGACAAAGTAGCACACTTACCACTCTTTTCAACATAGTACTGAAAGCCCTAGCCACAGTATTCAGACAAGAAAATGAAATAAAAGGCATCCAAATTGGCAAGGAAGAAATTAAATTGTCACTATTTGCAGATGACATATTATCTATAGAAAACCCTAGAGACATCACCAAAAAACTGTTAGAACTAATAAATGAATTTAGTAAAGTTGCAGGATTCAAAGTCAGTATGAATCAATAGGAATCTGTTGCAATCTATATACTATATACTAATAATGAAGTATCAGAAAGATAAATCAAGAAAACAATCCCACAATTGCACCAAAAAGAATGAAATACTTAGGAATAAATTTGTTCAAGGAAGTGAAAGACCTGTACACTGAAAATTATAAGATATTTAAAAACCCACAAATAAATGGAAAGATTCCATGTGCTCATGGACATGAAGAATTAGTATTGTTAAAATGTCCGTACTGCCCCAAGCAATTTACAGATTGAAGGCAATCCCTATCAAAATTCCAAAGGCATTTCTCACAAAACTGGAACAAATCACCCTAAAATTTGTATGAACAGCAAAAGAATCTTAAGAGGCAAAGCAATCTTGAAAAAGAAGAACAAAGCTGGAGGTATCATGCACCTTGATTTCAAACTATACTACAAAGCTATAGTAATCAAAACAGTATGGTACTGGCACAAAAATAAAAACATAGATCAATGAAACAGAATTGAGAGTCCAGAAATAAGCCCAGGTTTACCAGGTTTATATGTTCAACTAATACATGAAAAAAAATCAAGAATATACAATGGAAAAAATTCAGTCTCTTTAGTAAATGGTGTTGAGGAAACTGAAAAGCTACATGCAGAAGAATGAAACTGGATCACTATCTTAAGCCACACACAAAAATAAACTCAAAATGGATTAAAGACCTACATTTAAGATCTGAAACCATAAAATTCCTAAAATAAAACATAGGCAGTAATCTGTTGGACATCAGCATTAGTAATTGTTTTCTGAATATATCTCCCTAGCAAGGGAAACAAAGTCAAAAAAGAGCAATTGGGGTTACATCAATCTAAAAAGTTTCTGCACAGCAAAGGAAACTATCAACAAAATGAAAAGACAACCTACTAAATGGGAGAATATATTTGCAAAAATGGGAGAATATATTTGCAAATAATATATCTGACAAGTGCTTAATACTCAAAATATATAAAGAACTCATACAACTCAACACACCCACACACACAAAAACAATCCAATTAAAAGGCAAAAGACCTGAATAGACATTTCCAAAGGTGACATACAGGTGACCAACAGACACAAGAAAAGATACTCAACATCACTAATCAGCAGGGAAATGCCAATCAAAACTGCAATAAGATATCATGTCAGACCAGTCAGAATGGCTATATCAAAAAGACAAAAAATTACAAGTGTTGGTGAGGATTTGGAGAAGAGGGAACCTTTGTGCACTGTAGATGAGAATGTAAATTGGTGGAACATAATTTTCCATTGATAGATGAATGGATAAAGATGTGGTACATATATACGATGGACTACTACTTGGCCATAAAAAAGAATGAAATCTTTCCATTTGCAACATGGATGGACCTAAAGGGTATTATGCTAAGTAGAATAAGCCAGAGAAAGACAAATACTGTATCATTTCACTTGTATGTGAAATTTTATGAAATAAATAATTGAATAAACAAAACAGAAACAGACTAAAACACAGGATTTTGGGGGGCAGGGTTGGGGGATGGGAGAAATAGGTGAAGGTGATAAAGAGGGACAAAGTTCCAATTATAAAGTAAATATGTAACAGGGATGAAAAGTACAGCATTGGAAATATAGTCAATAATATTGTAATATCTTTGTATGTTGACAGTTGGTAACTATGTTTATTGTAATGAGAATTTCACAGTATATGTAATTGTTGAATCATTGTTATGTACACCTGAAACCAGTATAATATTGTATATCAACTATACTTCACTTTAAAAAAGAAAAAAAATGTGTCCATGCAAAGACTTATGCATGTGTGTTCAAAACAGCATTATTCATAAAAGCCAAAAAGTAGAAACAATCCAAATGCTCATGAACTGATGAATGGGTAAACAAAATGTGGTATATGCAAACAGTGGTATATATTGGCAATAGAAAAGAAGAAACTACTGATACATCCTGTAACTTAGTTGAACCTCAAAAGCATGCTCAATGAAAGAAACCAGAAATAAAAGACCACATATAATGTGATTCCTTTTTGTGAAATATCCAGAAAAGGCAAATCTGTTGAGACAGTAAATAGATTAGTGGTTGTATGAGCTGAGATGGGAATGAGGACTGACTGCAAATGGGCATGAGGGAGCTTTTGGGAATGATAGAAATATTCTATAATTATGGTGACAGTTAAACAACTCAATTTTTTTTTACTAAAAATCATTGAATTGTACACTTAACAGGTGAATTTTATGGTATATAAATTGTATGTAATAAAGTGGTATGGTATGTAATAAAATGGTATGATATATAATAAAACCTAAAAACACCCTTACTTTTTTTTTTCTTTTGTTTCTTCTTTTCTTCAAGCAAAGATGTACAAATCCTACTCAGCATATTGACATTGCTCTTAGTAGCTTTGAATGTTTCTGATAACATCTCCATTTGTGCTATCCATTGAAAGTGTTCATCAATATCATATGAAGTCATCTCAGATAAAATGGCATCTTGAAGAGAGTAAAAAATATTACTTTTGTGCAGAAAAATAATTATAAACATATAGGCTTATAATGTTGACTACTCAATATTGTAATATTGAGGAATATAGGTATTTTGCACTTATTGCTATTTTGAGGCTTTTTTCTGTGAAGAAATAAAAAAGGTAGTGACTTGGACTAGAAGGGTAAACAGTAAATCTTGGAATGAAAATATGAGTCAGGTAAAAAGGTGGCTATTTGGTATAGTTACCTTACTCCACAGAAGTAGGTACACAAAATATGAACATGTATTTTAATATTGGGGATCTAAATCCCAATTAACTCCTTTGGTAAGTTATCTAGTATTTTATAACCCCTGTTATGTGAGATTTCTTGCAATTAAATGAAATTCCTGTTTTTTGTATCCTTAACTTATTCTTTCATTCATCCAATGTCTCCTCTGTCATGTACTATTCTGATGCTAAGAATACAGCATTGAATGAAACAAATTCCCTGACTTCATCCTGCTTACATTCTAGTGAAAAGAGACATACAAAAAATGAAAATAAAAATGTTAATTATATAGTATGTCAAATGGTAAGAAATGCTAAAGACAAAAATAAAGAAGAGATGAGAGTAATGCGCAGTGCCAGGGGTAAGAAATGGGAATGGTCAGAGAACACCTCATTTTAAAGTGAGGTATCAGCAGAGAATGAGCCATCTGGCTGCCTGGTAGAAAATGTTCCAGACAAGGGAAAGTAAGCCTAAAGACACTGGGCAAGAGCATGCTGTCATGCTTGAAGAAAATCAAGGAGGTCAGAATAGCTGGCACTAGTGAGCAAGCCATATTTTTCTTATTTTATTCTTACTGGAACAGAGGACAACTGTTCTGTGAATACTCGGTCTCTTTTGATCTGATTACTTCTTCAAAATTATCAGAACTACAAAAATATACAGAACAAAATTCAGAAATAGATCCTGTTTCTCTAGATTTTTCATTAGCATTGTGGTTTACCTCTGAACCACTTCTGGAAACTTACTCCATTCTTCCAGCCAGGCCAGGATGTAGACAAGAGCCTTTTCTCTAATTTCAGCAGTTTTACCACAAGTGACTATTTTCTCCAGCAAATTTATTCTCCATTTTTTATTTTCTGTAATGGAGATATTCCTTCTAGAGTGCACATTCTCATCAACATTGTAGTGACTTATTACCCTTTGCACATTGTACATTATGTTATACAGCTGCATATTAATGTCCTATAAAAATAAGGAGAGAATATATTAATAAATTTTCAGTTTGACAATGAGCTTTGGTCACTTTTCCTTCCAGAATGTCAATGACAGTTACTATAAAATGGCTAATCAAAGTCCTGTTAATTCTTGCTCATGAGTCTCAGATTTTCCCTCTTAAAAATGTTTTTCTGCCTTCATCATCCTAGCATTGGAAGACATAATTAAAACATTGGGTTTGAAACCATATCTGGATCTCAACTCTAGCTTTTTCATTAAAAAGACTTTTAATAATTAACTTAACAATTCTGAGCTGGCTCTGCCTCATCTGTAAAATGGTGGAGATACTAAATTCACAGTTCATGTGAGATGTGTGAAAATGATTTATAAATTGTGGTTGCTATACATACAAACAAAAGAAACAAACAAAAGGAGGTTACTTTTTCCTCCTATATTTAGGTAGCCCTCACACCTGGAAAGCAGCTATCAGAATATTCTTCAACATGACTTTTGTTTCATTATCTCCCCTCCTCAAGGGACTATCAATAAATGTATTCTGTTCATCACTTTATCCCAGTAGTTCTCAATAAGGGTAATTACTGTTTCATAGGTGGCATCTGGAAACTTACGTAAGCATTTTTGGTTGTAACAATTTTTGGAATGGAGTATTTATTGTTATTTAGTAAAGGGTGCTAACGGATGCTAGTCCATCCTACAGGGCAGTGGACAGTCCACACAATGAAGAATTGGCCCAATTCTGTATAAATTTTGACTGTCCTATGGGACATTCATGTAGGTTAAAAAAAATCTGTTTTCAATTATTCAAGCCTAGGAATTCACTCCTTTTAAAATATAAACATGAAGTATTTTTGTCTAGTTTAATTACATACTGAAATCTCCAAGAATGCAAATATTATGTAAATCAAAATGTTCTTTAGATTTCTCCAATAAAATCTCACCATTCTATGGGTATAGAGGGCAAGTACCTCAACAAAATAAAGGCCATATATGATAAACCCACAACTAACATCATACTGAACAGCGAGAGGCTGAAAGCTTTTCCTCTGAGATCGGGAACAAGACAGGGATGCCCACTCTCCCCACTGTTATTCAAAATAGAACTGGAGGTCCTAGCCACGGCAATTAGACAAAACAAAGAAATACAAGGAATCCAGATTGGTAAAGAAGAAGTTAAACTGTCACTATTTGCAGATGACATGATACTGTACATAAAAAATACCCTAAAGACTCCTCTCCAAAACTACTAGAACTAATATCAGAATTCAGCAAAGTTGCAGGATACAAAATTAACACACAGAAATCTGTG